AAAAAGAAAAAAAAAGAAAAACCAAAAATAGATGGATGGATGAATAAATAAATAAAACATCCCTCTAAATATTCAAAATAAATTGCTATTTCTCTTTTTTTTAATAGCTTTCTAGTAAGTCCTCTTCCTTTCACTCTGGTTACACTTTATTCTTTGTACCAATCACTTTAGAATCTTATACCCCCCACTGGTTCTCAGTAACTATACCCTTTAGAGTTAACACTTTTTACTAGGTCACAGACAAAATGGGTATGATCATGACTTATACACCATAGCTGTGACCAACTGTGTCAACAATAATTCTCAAGCTTCCTGGTTGCATATTATATGTATCTTCATCTAATAAAGAGGATGAACTCCCTTAGGGATCCTGTTCTAAGTTTCTCAGTGTTACTAAACCCAAGCACAGTGAAGAGGAGAAAGTCCTTTTCAAATTAATGAAAGGACAATGAAATTAACTGAAAGATTGATAGCCCACAGGCCAAACAAAATCAAAACAGACACATTTATTATATTGCAAATTAAGAACCCTGGAATTAGAAACATCTGGAAATTGGGAAATTCTACACAGAAACCCAGATTTCTCGCTTCCCTTAGGGAAGAAAAATTGAGATGCCCACTATGTAGCCTAAGAGGAAAGACATAATCAGAACCCATTAGAGAAGCAGCCACTGATTTGATATCCTCTAGACTTACTATGTTACCTATCTGGTACCTTCAGGAATTCATGTTTACAGCCATTAATAAAGTCTCTGACATAAGTCTCTGACAAGCTTTCTTACTCAAATTTTGGCCTTTTTTTTTTTTCTCTACAGACACCATGTTTTTCTGCTGCTAAACAGATTTATATCTCACTAATCCAAACCCTGACAAAAAGCACCTACAGTGTCTGGTAGTAAAAACAGAAAATAGAGTTTGGTTGTTCTTCTAGTAGATCTAGTTCCCAGCACCCACAAGGTGGCCCACAACCATCTGTAACTCTAGTTCCAGGGGATCTGATACTCTCTTTTGGCCTCCATGAGCACCAGGAAGGCATGTAGTGTACAGACACATATGCAGGCAAAACACTAATACACATAAAAATAGTTTTTATAAACCTTAAATAATGTACTTCTGCTTTAGTAAAGCAGATTTACTAAAAAAGTATGCTGTTAAAAATCATTTTTCATACTAGTAAGCCAGTTAAGAGGGATTTTAAATCTGCAAATTAAATTCAACTACTTATGTAGTTTTTGCAAAATTATGAGCTATATACTACTGGTTAAGAACAAGTGCTAAAACTCTCAAATTACCAAATATGGTACTGAGTTTTGATTCTACCGTTCTCTACCTGAGAAATTCTGGAAAATTAATATCTTTAAGCCTCTGTTTTCTTACTTTTACCTTTGGGCAAGAATATCTACTTAATAAGGCTGCTGTGTGACTTAAAGAAACAATGGTATAAAAGAACTTAGAATAATGTCTGGCACATAGAAAATTGAAAATGCAGCTATAATTTGAGTATTTAAGTACAGAAAAATAATAAAACACAGGCTATCTAAACAAAAATAATTTCTATAATATTGCTATCAATAAAGAATGTAGAAAACACACACACACACACACACACACACACACACACACACACACACACACACACACACAAGATTCAGTTTATAAGGAAAAGAAAGCTGAAGCAATAAGGTAACACCAATTAGATAAAGAACAAGAAAGAAATAAAATAACAATATTTACAAATAGCAAGATGAAAAGGAATATGAAAGGAAGGTAGAAAGGAAGACTGATAGCAGGAATTGTACTTCAATTCAAACTGCATTAGCTGAAGCTAATACAAACACTGCTGTGTCCTGAGAGAGACAGAAAAACTAGTGTGGCATAATCCTTCCCCTCAAGACATGTACCTATCTTCCACAGCACATGGTACCTCATAGGTGCATGGTATATAAGCACAGACCTTTAAAATTTTATAAGAATGTAAAAAGGTAGTAAAGCAGAAACATTTATAAGAAACTGAAGAGTAACTACCACTTAATATAAACCTAAAACCCTATAAATCTTTTATTGTGCACACACACACACATAAATACACACAAGCATGCACACACCCCATGTAGCACACAGCTGGATTAATTCCTATGTAAAACATAAATATAAATAAATGTGTGCAAAAGTAAAAGAAATCAAGTTGGGTTGCTTGTTCACTAGGCAACTAAAGTGGTGGAGTCTCCAAAAGCTCTTTAAATAAGTGGTGAACTCCAGAACTGACACAAGGAAGACGTAAAATTACTCTGGAAACAAAAGTATGAAATTATCCTATAATCATTCCTAATGGTCAAAGCTTCAATGATTTGGAGGACAATGAGGATTGGGGATATAGCTCAGTAGTTGAACATTTGCCTAGTTAGAACTTTTGAGACCCTAGGCTCAGTCACCAATAACAAACAAGTGAAAATCCCATAGAAAGCTTTTGCTGGGCATGATGAAACACATCTATAATCACAGTATGTGGAGGCTGAGACAGAAGGATCTCAAGTTCAAAGCCAGCCTTGACTACATATAATCAAAGTGAGCTGGAAGCCAGCCCAGAGTACATAGTGAGACCCTGTCCTGAAAAAAGAACTAAGATAGTTCAGCACAAGCAAGAAATAAAAAAAAAGGATGATAATGCTAGTACAAAGAATACCCATAAACACTTACTATCATGACTAAACACGTAAGAAAAACCTCTTTCTCCAATGTGTATTCTATGTGTCTGATGGGGGAATGTCTTTCTGTATGCTGTGAAAATATGTTGCTCTGGTTGATAAATAAAGCCATTTGGCCTATGGCAAGGGAGCTTAGAGGCAGGTGGAAAATTCAAACAGAGAGAGAAGAAGGAGAAGGACAGAGCGGAGGAGACGTTGCTAGCTGCTGCCATGAGAAGCAAGTTGTAAGTAAAAATACTGGTAAGCCACAAGCCATGTGTCAAAGTATAGATTTATAGAAATGGATTAATTTAATATATAAGAACTAGATAACAAGAAGCCTGCCATGGCCACAGTTTAAAAATAACATTAGCCTGTGTGTGTTTATTTGGGTCTGAGTGGCTGTGTGACCTACGGGTGAGAGAGATTTGTCCTGACCATAGGCCAGGTGGGACACAGGAAAACTTTCAGCTACATGTGTACACCTGTATGTATGTGCACATGAGTACGTGTCTATGGAGACCAGAAGAGGGCATTGGATTTCTTGGAGCTGCAGTTACAGGTTGTTGCTGAGATAAAAACTACAACCATCTACAAGAGCCACGAGTACACTCTTAACAAGACCAGGGAAAGCCAGCAAGGCTGTTGTTGTTTGTTTGAATTTTTTTTTTTTTTAAAGACAGGATCTCTCTACATAGCCCTGACTATCCTGGAACTCACTATGTAGACCATGCTGGCCTCACACTCAAAGAGACATACCTGCCTTCACCTTCCTAGTGCAGGGTTTAAAGGTGCCATGAACAACAACCATGGTTGGCAGAAAATTCATTTTTGCTGGAGAAAATTAATAATATTCTTCATTTTACAGGAAAAAGAAAAATCACCATTAGAAAACAGCAATGAATGATAAAATTATTGGGCAAAGTTTAAAAAGAAAGTATGTTCACATGCCCTCAAAATATCTCTCCAAAACTTTGTATTTATACAACAATTAACAGTAGCCTTCTAGTGGAGAGCCAGAGATAATCACATTAACCAAGAACTATGGCTGTGCTGACATTTTACACCCTGTGATAAGCAGAGGGGTATGTCACCTCTTTGTTACTCGGCCCCAAATGCACTACTTCTATCATGAGAAAATAACACCAAGCCAAGGAAAATTCCACATTTCTGACAAACTCTTTAAAAATGTCTAAGTCACAAAAGACAAGAGTATGGGACATTCACAAATTAGAGGAGAACGGAGAGAATGGAGAGAATGACAACTGAATTGCAACATAAAGGACACTGAAGAAAACATGACGAAATCTGAAAAAAGCCTATCACCTGGTCAACAGTATTCTAACCATACAAATTTTTGGTTTTGATCATCCTTCTATAGTTCTGTTGTCTACCCAGTGTCACATGAGGTATCACTTCCCACTGACGGCTGTGTCCTCAGTGCACTCTCTCAGTCCACGCTACATCAGTCCCAGGACATAATAAAGTTCTCCCATGCTACTTCCAAAAATAAGTCCATCACTAACTTTACAAATTCCCAGGGCCAGCAAGATGGTTCAGTGGGTAATGACACTTGCTGACAAAGCCTGATGACCTGAGTTTGATCTCTGGGACCATACAGCAGAAAGAGAAAACCAACTCCCACAAGCTGTTGCTTGGTCTCCATGTGTGCACAGTGGCATACAGACACTCACATCATCAATCAATCAATAGAATTAAATTTTTTCCCATTTCTGGCATCCTAAAAATGATTAAGTGAGATAATTTTATGGCTTTCAACAAAGTTTTACTTTCAATAGCAGTTAACACTATTACCATTGCTTATTGCACAAAAGCTATAATTTAAACAAAATTCTTACCTTCCAACCACTGCCAGCCTCTCTATAATACGGGAAGTTATCACAAATCCACTGGTAAATCTCACTTAAAGTCATTTTCTTTTTGGGAGAACTATTAATTGCGAATGTGATGAGGCTGGCATAACTGTACGGAGGTTTTCCATCTTTGTGCTGTTGGACTTCTTCCTGGTCCAGTGTTGTGTTTGGGTCAAGGAGTGCATTCTTCTTAGAAATTCCCGTTCCATGTGCATTTTGTGTAGCATCAGATTTTTGGATGGCTGCTCTCATGGTGAGCTGTGGTAACCAGTCCATAGATGTTAGGCTGCTCTCCAGTTCAGATGTCATCCTGAAGGTAAATAGACTCCTTAGTGAGTATCAAGGAAACAACCCCTGCTTCTCAAAATAATCCAATATTCACAAATCTAGGAGTTCCAAAGTGAGGGAAAGCCTGAGTTAAATCTGGAGGGAAAAGACTGAGTTACATTAATGACCAAACTAAATATTTAAGGGATCAACACTTCCTATCTTTTTTCTCTCCAATCATAAAGGGTTTAAAATACAAAATACAAAATACATAAACTGACTGCTAATGCCAATCTTTCTCAGAAAAAAAAGAGGGGGGAGGGGGGAGGGGGAGAGGAAGGGGAGGGGAGAGGAGGGGAAAGGAAGGGAGGGGAAAGGAGGGGAGGAGTGGGCAGCAGGATCTTGGTATGAAAACTCCATCAGCAGCCCAAGTCCTTACTCACCAACACACCACAAACTCTTAAAATTCAAACTGTACACTTCTATCTCCATTTCTTGGACACAAATTTTAGAAGTTATACAAAGGTGTGCCAACACTAAGATGAAGGCAAGATGTCAGAGAACTGAGAAACAGATACAGGAATCGGCATTAGGGCAAGAAGGTAAAGTTGAGCAGGGGAGGGTAGGAAGATAAAAGCAGGGCAGAACGGAATAGTAGAAGACAAGCTAGCTGAGGAGCTGCCTCAGGAGGGACAGTCAAGGACACTGTGGAAGGAAGGAGGACAGGCAGTACCAGGCAGTTAGTAAAAACCAAAGGCAAGAAACCAGCTTACAAAAATTGAAGACCGAAGAGTGTAAGATAAGAAAGTAAGCCACAATTGGTCTAAAAGCACACCACAAGCCCAGGCTTCAATACACGCCCTGCAAAGTTGGAACTTCTAATGTATTTTTCTCCGAGGCTAAAAAAACTCATACCATTATTACCACCCCAAGAAAGAAAATAAGTTCCACCAGGTTAACACACCTTCTAGAAAAAAAGAAAAAAGCTACTGAAGAGATGGGAAATGAGAACATAGAAAGGATGCTGACACTTCAGACTGCAATTGCTGGTGTTCAAGCAGAGCACACAAACATTCTGTCCCAGGGTCACAAAAGCAAGACCAGTGACCCACTGACAAAGCGGAAGATGAAAGTGACTTCTAAGTGACACCAAAGTACAAAACAGCACTAGAGTCAAGACTGTAGAGCTGGAAGCGCAGTCCAGTGGCAGAACACTAGCATACGGAAGGTCCTAGATTTGCTCCCCAACACTACAGAAACAGAAAAAAGGCCAAGCAGAAGGAGGATCTTGTGGCAGGGAACACCCCACATAGGTCCTTCATCCCAAGTAGCTCCTAGCAAAAAGCAACCTAGGGTCCTGGGCAGAGCCAATTTCTGAGAGACAAAAGAGGTTTGGAATCAGAATTCAAGGACTGGCTCCAACAGTTTCCAGCGGGAAGCCTGTGAAAATGTTCACTGTCTGAAACTCCAGTTCCTCATGTATACAAAGAAACAATCAAAGTATCTACACTTAAAATACTATCTGATAAGGCATACGTGCATACACAGAGCAATTACTCAGGAGGTGTTAATAATATTAGTCTAGGAGTGTCTTGGGAAGGTAAGGTATTAATAATACACTTTTGAGTTGGGGGGAGGAAGAGGGAGAGAGGGAAAAGACAGAAGAAGAAGAGAAGACAGAAGAGAAGAGGAGGTAAAGAAGGGGAGGGGGGAGGAAGAGAAAGGCAGGGAGGAAGGAGACAGAGACACAGAGAGACCTAGAGTCCTAGTCTCATCCTATTTTCCTAATGCTCTGTGCCACTGTTTTACCTTGCTTCTCAAATTCTCTCCTCCTTTTCTGAAAACCAAACTTCAATTCCCCTCAATGGCACCTTCAAGGCTCCTCAAACAAAGAAATAAACTCACTTCATCCCACCACACTGTAGCAGCCAGCAATGCTCAGGCCCAGCATGAGTCCCTTAGGAAGACTGTGACATACGAGGTGTGCTCATTTCAAGATTACACTACAGCAAACGAGGGGGAAGCACCCGAAGCTCACAGCCTCTGACCTTCACTTTAAAGATGGTAAACTAAGTAAGGGTCCACTGACATTAGAGTTGTTTTCACACAGGCACAAGCAGAACTAAAACAGGAGCCCAGGTCTCTTAATGCCCAAGTCAACAGTTTTTCTGTAGCATCTTCACTGTGAAATGAGGAGGAAATTTACAGCTGTACCTATGTGACTGATCTAAAGCACTTAGAACAACGTCAGACAAAAAAGGTTTTTTTTTTAAAGGTCAACGGATGGTGATCATAAAAATGAGAGCTATTATTACTGTTCAGCACCAAAGAAGTATCGGCTATTATTCCCCTACATGCTGTTGCTCTAGCTGTCTCGGTCTCTCTCTGCACACAGCTTTACCTTGTTCAAATTTTAAGACGGCAGCAGTTGTTACACACAACTCCCACGTTAATATAAAGGCATGTTTAAACTGAAATGTAACTGGCACCAGTGTAAGAACTTAACACACTTGGGGTATGTCAGCATGAAGGAGGTATTTAAATGTGTGGCAATACATTTAACAAGAATTCATAATTACACATGTATATGAGACTGCTTGAGTAATAAACACAGAGAACCATTATCGATTTCTGGCCCTTGGGGAACTGACAGTTTAATCAAGATCAGGCATGAAAAAAAAAAATTGAATGAAGGAGCAACATTAAGTATAGGTACTATAAAGGAAACACAGACTGCAGTCCTGGAGGCAGGAGGAAGAACTTCATCTGCATCTTAAAGAAAATGAAGCTCTAAACAGCCTGGAAAGAAGGCCATACTGTGTCAAAATTATGGCACGTTGTACTTCTAATTCTCTCTGTGCTAGGGCAAACGTTAACTACTCCATTAAGTTCCAGGGTTGTTTCTAATGTATTCAAGTTTATATACTCTTGGCAGTAAGGCAGGAAGGGCCTCCATTGTGATACTTAAGCTAGAAGCTGCAGTGAGTCTCCATCAAGCAAAAACATCAAATCTGACCATTACATTTGGCCGGCTCACCAGGAGGTTTAGAAAGGAACTTCTTGGTGGAACAGTGATGGCAGAAGTCCACTAGTGTCAGAGACAGGTGGTGGGATGTTTTAAAACAGCACCCAAAGCGCTGAGGAATCTGGTTCTGGAGAGCTGATTAGGAGATGCCAGGCCACTTTACCTCACCCCATTCCCAAAGCCTCCTTCCTAGCTGGCCTCCTAGACTGACTTCTCCCCATCCCTCCCTGCTAATCCCCTCAAGTCCACTGTACACACTCAAAGAGAAATTAGCAACACTCTTCTCATGTCATTACAGCCATGCACTTTTGATGTCTCTTTCCTGACACTACAGCTAGACATATTTTCAAAAGTTTTAGCTTTAATTATTGCTTTACTAATTCTTCTCTCAATTTCCTAGAGCTGTTCTAACCTAAATTTGGCATTTAACACACTTCATATACCTAAGCTTTCTACCTTCACCCCTCTCTCATACATCCCCACTGAGAACAGTGACCATATAAACTAGTATCTCTGATGCCACCTAATAAAATGCAGATACAAATGATCTGAAAAAATAACTAATTCAATAAGGAATAAAAAATTTCTCATCTGAAATGGTCTCTCCACTCAAATCAAACATCTCTCCCTATACAAAGCCTAGTCCATTATTTCTTTCCACTCTGTATCTCCTAAGCTGAGTAAGATCCTGTTCTTATAAGGCATGGATTAAATAAATAGCACAGAATTTATATCCAAGTTTAATGCCCTGTATCATGGAGTCCCTCAGCTCCTTGGAAGAAAGAACTCCAATGGTTAAAACAAGTGTGACTACCCAATTCAGATGTGTATGTGTGTCTGCGTGTGCACTCACACAAGTGCTTAACCAAACCAGAGTACTTGTCAAGAAACAAAATACTTGTTAGAGGCTAAAAGAAAGTAGCAAAAAGTAGACCGGACAGCATATGGAGGGATACTGCCAGCAGCAAGGTCCTTTATAACTTGAGAAAGTTACAGCCCAACACAGATTGACACAAACAATTCAACTAGAATGCCAGAGAAAAAAAAATAGTTAAGATGGAAGAAAAAAGAACACACTGCTTGTAGGAGAAATGAAAACAGAGAAAAAGGAATGAAGAACTAAGGTCTAAAGTTCTGAAATTGATGTTGCAACTGTTTTACTTAAAAGAGCTTCCAAAAGAAATTTTTTCACAACTTCTAAGGCATAAAGAACATCCAAGTATGACAACACAACAGGTGTGGCAGCTTATGCCTGTAATCTCAGCACTTTAAAGAGGCTGGGGCAGGAGTGCTAAGTTCAAAGCTAGCTAGGTCTACTGAATAAAATCCCATCTCAAAACAAAAACAAACAAAACACTTCTCAAAACTAAGTCAGGACATGTGAGTAGGGAGATGGGGAACTAATTTCACTTTACAAAACACCACTGATATGACTTCATATGTGCTTTTACTACCATATTACACTTCTTGGGCTTCTGCCTGCAATTTTCCTCATTCACATGGAGTAGCAACGATTATTCAGAAAGCTTTACAGTTCAAACAAGGAAACAGAATGGTGGAGATATTTTATCACCAATAGGGTAAAAAGAGGACACAAAGGAAAGTAAAAAGAATAAACCTAATGAGGGTGATGATTTTGTGACCCAAATGGTACTGAGCCCTTCCTCTTCATTCCTAGAACCTGGTATTTTTACCTAGAGATTTGGCAGCAGATAAAAAATGGCACAACAGAGAACTCAAATGAAATCTTTGTGCATAATAAACTGGCTCCTTCTTGTCACATAAACTAAATGCCCTAGAAGAGAAATAAACTGATTAAAGAATTATAAGAGGAAATAAGATACAAATCCTCAGCTTAGACATCAGGCCTGCCTATGGCCTTATGCGTCCTATAAGTTAAAGCCCTGTTTTAGATGGAAAAACACACTCTTACTTCTGAAATGCAATCTAAAGCCTTAGCTAAAGAAATGTTGCCAAGGGCTGGAGAAATGGCTCAGAGGTTACGAACACTGGCTGTT